CTGGCCAACCAGATGCCATGGGGAAGCCCTGCCCAGGGATAACTGGTGTGAAGAAACTGGTCCCTATCTGCATAGGGGACAGGATACACCCCCCCAAAAAAAATTTCCCTGCAGCAAGAAAAAGAATCCAGTGCTATGAACTGTTGATGCAACCTTTAATTCACAGCAACAGAACACAGGTTGTGTGTGTGTGTGCTTGCTAGTTAATTAGTGCTGCTGTTTTAATTTATAAGGGAAATAAACCATTTTTCCTGTTGAACCGACTCTTGTGTACTTGCTAAGCTGACTCTCCTGAGATATTTGATGCAATGAACCAGCACATTCTGTCATGCCCTTCTCCCCACCTGAAATGCTGCACAATCCCCGAAGGACCGCCCCATGTGCCTTTTTCTGAAAGCGTACGTTGGCTCCAATTTGAGTCCTAGGGTCGTGCAGCTTTAAGCTGTGCTTTTGGGGGCTGGTGGTGGATGTGATCTGGCACGCTGGCGTATTATTTGTCTAGCTGGCTTCTTACAATAAACACCACGTACTTTTCGGAGGAAAAGGTGGGATATAAATGAAATAAATGAGCTCTTCAGCTGACCTGCTTAAGAAAGCTGGAGGGGCCAGCCAGATGGAGACTTCAGCTGCCATCTTGGCATCCAGAGATCTCCTCGTGGTTGCAGCTGGCGAATGTGCCCATCAAATTTCTAACACTGCCCAGGACTCTACCACCTCCACCTGCTGCGTGGCTAAAGCAGGCCTGTACATGTTGGGAGTGAAACCCAAGCTAACACTTGTCCAGGATGATTTCTCTAATAGCTTCCCAGGAGAAACTGGGAGTTTGGTGGCTCAGGGAGAGATATTGACAGGCAAAAATGGACTAGGTGTGCCACTGAGGAGCAGCCACCAGAGGGCACCAGCAGCTCACAAAAAGCACAACAAGTTGGCACTTCTTTAACCCTGGTGTTGCTTTCACAGGGGAAAGGCAAATCCGTCAATTTGAGGTTCTCATTTTTGCCAATTTTAAATTCAGTTGTCTGCATATCTGCAGCAATCTATCACACCCATCAGGCTTTCAGTGCAAATTTCTCCTAACAAACTCAATTAAGGCACATTTTCTACAAGTGACTTTCCATAATATAATGTGCTTTTGTATGTTATGTTCACTGATTTCTGCATTTTTACGCAGACATTCCCCTATGCTTTTGGTGGGCGAACTGCATTTCAAAATTCGGAGAAGTGAAATTTTCAAAGGATTGCTGTGTTTTGGTTCCCATTCTGGGCTCGAGACGCATGTATTATGCAGTCCCCCATTGAGATGCAAACAAAATCCCATTTCTTCCTCCTCTCCAGGTTTTGCTCCACCAAAGCACAACCCCAATGGATAAGCTCAGAAAGTTTATTTGAATCTACATTCCAATGTCTATAGCTTGACCTCCTTATTGTGTGTGGTGGTGGGGCATTTATTAATTAAATCTGTATCTTGCCCTTTGCCCCAAATCAAACACTTCTGTGAGATAAACTGGTAGGGCGGTAGGCAGGGAGCCCAACAGTAGGTGGCGCCAGTAGCAAAAACAGACAGAGCCAACTGATTCGAGTTTTGTCCCCATCCTCTTCCCTGCTGGTTTGTACAAAGGTTGCTCTTTCTCTTAACTGCCTGCATGTGTCCTGGCAGTCTTATAAGCTGCCTCGGACGAGCAGGCTACAGAGTGCCTTAAGCACACAAACAAAAAGCCTCAAATGAATCCAAATTCTGGAGAGGATTCAGAAACTGGGGCACCAAATCCAACATCAAGACCGGGGCATTCAAAGTTTGCAATCTCTCTCCTGGTTTGTGTTCGCAAGAGGAAAACCTCTCCTTCCCTGCTTGTTCATAAATTAGAGCAGGGATTTCTGTCTTTGATGCTAACTTTTGTCCCCACCCCCTCACCCATGGGCTCAGGTAACACCACCCTCCACCCCTGAGATATACTGCAACATATTGTTGCAGAGTCCCACTTGTCAATCATCTGTGATGAGGTAAAGGTAAAGGACCCCTGACAGTTAAGTCCAGTCATGGACGACTCTGAGGTTGCAGCATTCAAATTTGGTAAGCATTTCCTGTGCAGGATGCTAAGGAGAATGCATTTTCATTACCACCACACAAATAATATACTAGCATGCATGGTTTCAGGTGTTGGCTGGTGAATTTTTCTGTGTGAAAGCATCTGTTAAAATGCAAGAACAATCCAAGATGAAATGCTTGAGCAAAAACAAATGAAAATAATTTGGACAAAATGAGAAAGAACAAATAGATACTGTATTACATGCCTTCTAAACTGCTGTGTGGCTAACCAATAAAAAGGTAAAGGTACCTCCCCCGACAGTTAGGTCCAGTCACGGACAACTCTGGGGTTGCGGCGCTCATCTCGCTCTATAGGCCGAGGGAACTGACGTTTGTCCATAGACAGTTTTTCCGGGTCATGTGGCCAGCATGACTAAGCCGCTTCTGGCAAACCAGAGCAGCGCACGGAAACACTGTTTACCTTCCAGCCGGAGCGGTACCTATTTATCTACTTGCACTTTGATGTGCTTTCGAACTGCTAGGTTGGCAGGAGCTGGGACCAAGCAACGGGAGCTCACCCCATCGTGGGGATTCGAACTGCCAACCTTCTGATCTGCAAGCCCAAGAGGCTCAGTGGTTTTAACCACAGTACCACCCATGTAAGATTGTAACTTACCTGCTTCTTATTGCTGCTCTGTAAGCATTTTGTATAAACATCCCAAAGTGTTCATGTGGCCTCAGGCTATCTTATTTGCAGCAGTGATTCATACAGATGGCAAACATTATTAAGATTACTAAGCACCTTCTCTCAGGCATGCATTTTGGCTCTTGCCTGCTCATCTAAATGCTGGAACAGCCTAGAGGTCTGTCCAATCTACTCCTGCATCCAGTTTTCAACAATGGGTCAAGCAGAGGATTCTGGGATGCCCTGAAGCAGGGCAGGAAGGCCACAGCTGTATTCTGTGTGTCCCCAGGCAACAGCCATTTGGAAGGACATCTCCCCTAAACAGGGATGTTCCATTTAGCTAGTAACCGCTGACAGACATCTCCAAGAGTCTGCCTAATCCCCCTTAAAGCCAACAAACTAGGCTTGCCATAAGTCAGGAAAATTCCTGACATGTTTTCCTATTTTTCAGGTGCAAAAAATTGGTGCTGGAAGTTTTTCACATCTGCTGCACCACACCTTCAATGTGTTAAGCAGGAAAGGATTTTTCAACCCCCATGAGCAATCTTGGAGAAATAGGTAAAGAGAGCCATGCCCTTGATTCTGGGTTGTCCATCTCCATATCACAAATCCAATTTAAAAAGGGTCAGCTCAGCCTATCAAAGGCTTTGTAGACATCCAGCAAGGCTACTGCTCAAAGATGATCATTGTTTTTGCTAAATGTAACACAGAGCTTTCCAAACTTTCCAAACAAAGGCTAATTGGGCAGTAAGGTAAAGGTACCCCTGCCCGTACGGGCCAGTCTTGACAGACTCTGGGGTTGTGCACCCATCTCACTTAAGAGGCCGGGGGCCAGCGCTGTCCGGAGACACTTCTGGGTCACGTGGCCAGCATGACAAAGCTATATCTGGCGAGCCAGCGCAGCACACGGAAACGCCGTTTACCTTCCTGCCAGTAAGCGGTCCCTATTTATCTACTTGCACCTGGGGGTGCTTTCGAACTGCTAGGTTGGCAGGCGCTGGGACCGAGCAACGGGAGCGCACCCCGCCGCAGGGATTCGAACCGCCGACCTTTCGATCGGCAAGCCCTAGGCGCTGAGGCTTTTACCCACAGCGCCACCCGCGTGGGCAGTAAGATTACACTAAATCAGGTTTCCCCATTTTGGGAAGCACTGTTATTTTTTACTGATGCTACAAGTCAGGGGGAACACCCCCCCTCCAATCTAGGATTTCATTAAATAGTGCCATTAAGTGTGTACATAACACATTGCTAAATTGTTTGAGGAACACCCTGTAAGCCAGTCAATGCCCAGTGCCTTATAGCCTTTTAGATTTTTAATGGCTCTTTGCACCTCTTCCAGCTCAATGGGTTTATTTAGAATGTTTATGAGCCTCATAAAAGTTGTGGTAAGTGGTTTATTTGAATAGTCATTAATTGCACCAGGGAGAGAGGGGGGTTGAAGTGTACAAAGTTGAATACATATAACATGCACTTATTTTCTTTGTACTGTAAGTGCCCATTGTGTCTTTGAGAAGCAGAGCTCTTTTGTTATTGACTCTCTGCTTGATACGGTTTGCCAGCAGTTTGGAGTTTTTCTTTTAAAGCAGCAAAACTTTAAATGCTGATTTTCCTTGTACAAGCTTGTCACTGCAGGGTGTTCTGTTTACAGTTCACAAGAGTTTCCAGTGAACCACTGGAATGGCTCTGAAAGTGATGGAAGAGGATTTCCCTAACCTGCTGGCTCTCTAAGCCATGGGTAGGCAAACTAAGGCCTGGGGGCTGGATCCGGCCCAATCGCCTTCTCAATCCGGCCCGCGGACAGTCCGGGAATCAGCGTGTTTTTACATGAGTAGAATGTGTCATTTTATTTAAAATGCATCTCTGGGTTATTTGTGGGGCATAGGAATTCGTTCTTTCTTTCTTTTTCAAAATATAGTCCGGCCCCCCACAAGGTCTGAGGGTCAGTGGACCGGCCCCCTGCTGAAAAAGTTTGCTGACCCCTGCTCTAAGCAATCATGAACCCAAGAAAGCTCAGTGGACAGGGAAGAGGAGTCCAACAACATTGGGGGGGGCATAAAAAATGGGCTGTTTGACAGTGACACAGGTCACCTTGGAAAGTAGTGAGACCTCATTACAGGATTTTAAGCAAAGCCCAAGTAGCCACCAAAAAAGATGCTGCAGTAACAGATTTGAGGTTGTACAAGATGACCCTTGAGGACATTTCTTTTTTACTTTCAAAAGAAGAATAGATAACAGGCGGACAATATTTTTTTAAAAAACAACACACACATACACAACCACACAACTTCAGGTGTTTCATCCAGAGCAAAGCTTTATTCACTTAAAAGAACTCTAAAATATCCAGAATTTCATTAGCATAGAATGTACTTCTTTTCTTTCTTTCTCTCTCTCTTTTTAAACAGTTGCACAGACTAAACTCAGAGCTCTCTGTTAATACTAACCATTTCTTTTAAAATTAAATTAATAGCCATTCTGGAAGACCAAACTCAAGTTGATAGAAAATATATTTATATATTTATATATATATTTATAATATATTTACTGTACAAAGTTTACAATACATTTGAAAAGGGGGAGGAAAAAAACCCCAAACACACATCCATTTTCACCAATATTACAGACTTCATTTTACATACACCGTCAAAGTTGCGGTTGAGGAGGGGGGGACCCTTAATGTGCAGCTGCGGTTCACCAAAAAGAAAAAGAAAAAAAAAGATACGGCCTCACAGTGCTAATTCACTCGCTTACAATCACCACAAAAAGGAAAACCCACAAATAATTAGGAACGAACTGGGGCAGAGATCCCTTCCTCCCACCCCCGTCCAATGCTCCTGCTGCAATGCTGTACAATGCAATTCCTTCTGTTTCCTCTTAAAAGTAAGTCTCATCAAATTCAACTGGGCTTACTCTAGGTAAGTGGGTAAATTACAGCCACAGCTGAAAGGACTCCATTCATTCCCTGCCACCACCCTGCCTTCCGCCTGGGTTTAGTGGAGTGACTCTGGATTTACAGCAATGTAAACAGTGTTGGTTCATGCCTTTCACTCGCCCTGCTTCGCTCCCCAAGGATTTGAGCCTGGCTCCAACATATCCTTGAACACTGACAATGCAATGTGCTTGTCTGAATGGAGGACAGAAAGGGGTGTGTCAGCATGCTGAAATTGGCCTGCTGTGCAATCATTGGTTCGCCCACGTTTGCCTCTGGCCCCGCCCACTGCTGGCATGCGGCCCTCAGAAAGTTGTAAAGGAGGAAATGTGGCCCTCAGTCTGAAAACGATCACATGTTTTAAAGCTTAAATAGCTGTAGGGGAAAGGGTTAGGCCAGATTTATGGAGAACAGAGCTACGAAGGACTATAAAGACAGTCTCTCTTTCTCGAGGGATGGCTGATCTTTGGGCAGTCAGATGTTGCTGAACTCCAGACTGAAATCATCTCTATTGGCCAAGTTGGCTGGAGCAAATAGGAGCTGAGGTCCAGCGACACCTGCAAGGCCACAGGCTAGTCACCCCTAGTTAGGCAAATACATTCCCAGATGCTGGGAATAAAGAGAGATATTCCCATCATGCCCTGCTCTTGGGCACTTAGGGAGATGTTTGATGCTACCTCTTCCTTTGCAGTTTTATTAATTTCAGGTGTGCCAAACTGAGAATGATCCTAACTGAGAGTGCAATGCTGGGAGGGGGTTTACAGTTCCCCAGAGCAACAGGAATTAAAAAAATTTAGGAAGAATCCTTAGGGTAAGACTTCCCGTTGGTGGCAAGTGTTTGAACCCCAGGCAAGAAACCAACTCTTCTTCCCTGCAAGCATGAGTGGATCTCTCTTCATTAGAAAAGGCAACCAAAGGAGTGCACTGTATTATAATCCAAGGACCTGGTGCACTGAGGGGTACACGGCATTAACTATACAGAGGAAAGTACTGATAAAGAAGCCAAAATTGGGCCCATCAGTTGCACTGCGGATATTACGTGGCTTACACGAGACAACTTGCACTTTCCACCAGAACTGCAGCTTTCAGTGTTTGACCTGTGTCTGGGCCACATCCGTCTGTGGTGGTGAATGAATGCTCATTCACACCACACATACAAAAATCCCTGCTCATAAAAAACCTGAACATAGCAAGGTTAGAACTCTTTCCCCCTGAAATGCTAACTTCCTATGTGCAGAGAATGTGTACAGAGCAACATTAAAGGACGTGAGGGATGGGAACTGTAGCTGTGCGAGGGGAAAATGGGTCTCCTATCAACTCTCAGCACCCTAAACCAACTACAGTTCCCAGGATTCTTTGGGGGAAGCCACAACTGCGTAAATGTATTGGGCAGGTGTGGCCTTTTCACTGTATCGCAGTAACCAGAAACACCTCTTCTCTCTCCGCCCCCCCTCAAAAAAAGGTACTTCTCTAAAGTACTTTCAGTGTCAAGGTAGCACATTTAAGCTCTCTTCCAATAAGATGTTCTGCCTTCAGTCTGTCTTCTTTAAAAAGACAAAAACTGTTCTATCCCACAGAAATAGGCTTCCGTCTCCAACACTTGGTAGTGCGGTCAACGGTTCAGGATGAACCCCAAACAAGTTATCACCACACAGAAAAAAGCCTCAAAAGAGCTCCCCCCCCCTTCTTCACAGTCTTCTAAGAAAATAGCAGGACTGGTGGACCACCAAGACAAACAACTACATTGCGAGATTTCTTTACCCTGCCACAAAGGACCTATTGGACAGTGCTTGTGCCACATATTTTGGAAATTGCTCTTAATAATAATAATAAAGGCTGAGCACTTATTGGAGCCATTAGTGAGGATTCTTCTTGGGTAGACCCTGCTTTTTTGGAAGAGGGCAACAGCAGCATTAATAAATTACCACTTTTAAGTCCTCAAAAACTTTTGAGATTTCCCTCAGCAGACAGACATAACTCGGTCCCGCTCCCCGCACAGTCTCCAGCAACCCTCCTTATCATTCCTCATCTGGGATCCTTTGGAAGGAGTGGAATGAGAAACTGTGTCTCCTTTACACGAGGTGTACACAGGCCCTCCAGGTTTTGCTGGACTACAACTCCCATCACTCCTGTCCGTTGGGCCTACTGGGGCTGATGGGAGCTGTAGTTCAGAAACATCTGGAGTGCTAAGGGCTCCCCACATCTAGCTTACACAAAGCACCAGAGGATCACTGGAACAAGTGCCCTCTCTCCGCCCCCCACAAAAAATCTGACCATAACCCCCTTGTACACACCAGAAACCCAAAAACCCATGGAGTTCCACAGAATGACCAGCTCTGCCTCAAAGGGTTAGAAATAGTGGTTATTGGGGAGACACAAGTAGCTGTGCAGAAAGTGACAGCTCCCTAAAGAAAAAAGTCCTATTCAGTTCCCTTCTAGTGTCTCCAGCTCTTTAGATACCACCTACATACCTCCAAAAAAAACCCCAAACCTTCCCCAAAAACCATGAGGTAGGAAGCTTGCTGTAAAAAATGATCACCTACTACCCTCTATGCAAGGGGAACAGAGGGGGACACACGACTCTTGTCCAGCAGGCCCGATTCAAAAGCACCTACCCCTTCATGGGGCAGTTTTGATAGGTCCACCCACCTGCCAATCACCCGATGCCATTATATTTCTGGAGAATCCATGCCTACTGGAAAGCAAACAGGGTTTGACGCTGCATTTAAGCAGCGTTGAATGCAACAAACATTTCACACTTGAAGATCTCCCCAGAAATATATAGCATCTATCCCACTTTGCTTCGGCAGCCTCTAAGCTTATTTTTTTAAAACAAAAACAATGGGATTGTCTACACAAATTTAAACCACTTCCAAACTCTGCCTCTGCTATCGTTCTCAAATTAGGCTAGGAAAGTGTATTTCTCAAAAGGGAATATGGGATTTCCTTCCGCACACCTTCACAAAAGCAACGGTTCCTAGCATTCTTGCGAGCAAGCTGAGGCGGCTGAACCAGTTCACACTTTGCATGTATACATGCCCCAAGGGGTGTGTGTGTGCAAACTTCATTTTGAACGGATCGAACATTTCCACAGGGCGAAACAGAAAACCTTCGCTGCTTCACAGATGAAACCAAGATTCATAGTCAGGTTGTTTTTAACAGTGCCAGTTGAACATTTAGGGAGAGGGGAAATGGGTTGTTGTTTTTTAAGATTAAAAAAACCTTTTATCACATTTATTATTAACCATGAAAAATATAATTCACACAAGGGGAAGACAACAACAGTCCATCAGAATGTAAACATTTTTTAAGTAAAGAAGATGCTGACTCGAGATGTCAGAAGCAAAAGTAACGAAAGTCAAAATGAAATCTCGTTGGGGGCCTGGCGGGGGGACCGCATCTCCCCATGGCCCTTCGATTATTTGGGAAACTTTGCAGAGGACTCCGATGATCCACTTCCAGGCGTGTGAGTGACACAGATATATATATTTTTTTCCGGAGGGTGGAAATGAAGAGAGAACCATGAACACACAACAAACTATATCTTTTGATTACTGGATTCCAAATCTCCCAAGGCAAATCGCTCGAACCGGATGGCAACTTTGCTACTGTTAATGCTGAAGAGGAAGGTGGAGGGTAAAGGGAGGGCGGGAAAAAAGGGAAATTAAGCAGTTTCACTTTTGAGACCTTGTACAAAAACAACAAGTGCTGATGATGAGCTAATTGGTTCCATGTACTAACACAAGAAAGCAAAACACCGAAGTGGTCTGGGAGGAAAACAGCAGAAACTGTACAACTCAAGGAAGCTTCTTTCTTACAGAAAAGAGTGTTCTCTCCATTCTCGAGGTTGCAAAGCACAGCACTTGCTCTCCTCTCTATTTAAATCTCCCTTTGTGTAGAGATTTTCAAAAGGGATACATGACAAATCTGAAGAATCATGAACTGTGCAGGCTGTTTATGATAGCCAGATTTAATATGTTTCCCTCAATGATAGTGAGAGGAAGATATTTAGCTCTCCCAGAATCAGAGCGTCTCTGCAAATGTAGTAAACAGGCACCTGATACTTTGGAGCATATTTTCTTTTCTTGTGATTTTGGCATTTATGCCAGAAGAAAATTATTAGAGGCCTTACAACTCAATAGGCTGATTTCTTTGCCACCAACAGGACCTGCTTTCGGACAGGAATGATCAAATTACTTTAATAGTGGCTGAATTTTTGAGTGCTGTCCATGTAGAAAGACTGGGTCATTATAAAGAGAATTAGTGGTTCTTAATTGATCGAGGATTCGGTAGTGTATTATTTATGCAAATTGATTTGCTCTGGAGTTAAAGATCTGACCGGGACAAACCTTGTTATGTTGAGCTCGTATTTTGCACAATTTTTATATGGTGTCTTGTTTGATAATGTGTGGTTTGCTATGCCTAATAAAGGATAACTATTTAAGGAAGCTTCTTAGGGAGAAGATATTTTTTGGGGGGCACCTCACCTATGACATTCCGCTGATATGGAAACATATCTCATTGGAGAGGGGCACGACCTATTTTACAGACAAACACACAGCGTCACTTGCAAAGTGTTTCTCTTGCTGCGCCATGTTGATCAGGAAAAGTCTGCATGCCCCAAGTTTCTGACCCAGTCTGTGTGCAGGAAAAGTAACATATTTTGGGGCTGGCTCAAGACACATTGCCGCCAAATTTGGCCTCCCTAAATTGCTCCACCTCCACACTAGTTTAAAAGGTAAAGGTACCCCTGCCCGTACGGGCCAGTCTTGCCAGACTCTAGGGTTGTGCGCCCATCTCACTCAAGAGGCTGGGGGCCAGCGCTGTCCGGAGACACTTCCGGGTCACGTGGCCAGCGTGACATCACTGCTCTGGCGAGCCAGAGCCGCACACGGAAACGCCGTTTACCTTCCCGCTAGTAAGTGGTCCCTATTTATCTACTTGCACCCGGGGGTGCTTTCGAACTGCTAGGTTGGCAGGCGCTGGGACCGAACAACGGGAGCGCACCCCACCACGGGGATTTGAACCGCTGACCTTTCGATCGGCAAGCCCTAGGCGCTGAGGCTTTTACCCACAGCGCCACCCGCGTCCCACCCACACTAGTTTACTTGGACACAAACCTGAAGGAAGCTCTCCTGCACTCCAGATGTTGCTGCACACTTAGAATCAAAGTATTATGAGCTGCATGGATGAACTTTATTTCATAGAATCATAGAATCATAGAGTTGGAATAGACCACAAGGGCCATGACCACTTTTCTCCCATCACTGCAGCTAGCTCAGGATAAGGGGGGGGGGGTTGTAGTTCAGCAACATCTTAGGGTCTGCTAGTTCCCTACCCAAGTCCAATGAAAATCTGTAAAGCACTGAAGATTGGACAAGATCCCCCACCCTACTTGTCCCTTTCGGACCACCCTCCTTGAGGAGGAAAGCAGAAAGTTCACTGGCTCTGCTGCTACAAAGCTGGGGCCATACTCTCCTGCCTAGAAAAGGACTAGCAGGGGAATTTCCTCTGCCAAATCATGGAATTGTAGAGTTGGAAGGGACCCAAGAGTCATCTAGTCCAACAATGCAGGAATCTCAGCGAAAGCATCCACGACAGATGGCTATGCAACCTCTGCTTGAAAACCTCCAAGGAAGGAGCGTCCACAGCCTCATGAGGCAGGAAGTCAACTGAACCAGGCTCACCTCCAAATCTAAGGAGAGAGGTTCAGCCATGGTCTCCTGAGAAGGAGAACTCACTCAAAAGGGGTTTGGGCAGGGGGGGGGGCTGGAGAGCAAGGATGTGTAGATTTCAAAAGGAAGCTGAGACTCAGTTTGCCTATTGTTTCCCAAAGTGCAAATTAGGTAGCTTTGCTTGCAAGTGAAAATGGAATCAAATTTTTAGTGGATCACTGGCTTTCTTGCCCTTGAGCTCATCTCTGGGGAGGAAAAATGTCATGGGTGAGATGCCCCTCTGAATTTTGCTCTTAAGTCAGATTTCCCACTGCTACACCTTGAAGGGACAAGCGAGAAGCAGAAACACAAGCAAAAGCATGCCCCACAATGCTGGCCCCTGTTGAACGCTAACACACAAATGGGATTAGGATTATTTTTTTAATGAACTAGGAGCTACTGCACTGACATTAATTTAGTCAGTTAAGTTGGTCATCGTTAAAAACTGCCCGGAGAAGATTAACCAGGCAGCGGGTTGTTGTTTTTATTTAAGTCCTTATTTATTTTTAATTATTTTTTAATACAAATAACTTGTTAAAAACTGCCTTCTCTCAGAAAAGCCAGAAAGGCGAGAGGCAGATCGAAATGATAAATAAACAGGAAGAAAAACAGAAGAAAAACAGTTACAGGCTTCAAGACGGCTAGCTTTGCTCCTGCGTGAATTTACACAGATTTAACCGATTAAACAATTAACGGATTGAAAACGCTCTTGTTTTTAACCCATCTCTAGTGGGGAAGGAGAGGGAAATATGAACATCAAGAATTATCCCAACTGAAGCTGTAACTTAACAGACTTGAGAGCAGTTTTCCAATCTGCTGCTGCTGGCTGGCCCCCCAAAAATGCCCAGATGGATTTATTCATTTCCTTAAAGCCCCTCTCACCCTGCCAAAAAGGAGAAGCACACAACACTGCTTGATTGGTCGGGGTGTTTGCTTACAAACTTGCTTGAGATGCTGGTTGGTAAAAGTTCAGAGAAGTAACCGCTGGGGGCAAGTCTATAGAGGAAGGAGGAGAATGCCGGGACAGGAAGAGGCGAGGTGACAAGTGCTGCAGCCGCTGGAAACGCTTCGGAAGAAGGGTTAATCTGGACCAGGTGTTAGTAGAACGCCACAGTTCTTGCAGACAGGAATGGTTATTTCGAGTTACAGCAGCCCACACCAAGAGAAGAGGCGGGGAAAAGGAATTCGTAGAAGCGGCAGGGGCATCCAAGGATTAAAAACCGGCAGCATGTGTGGTTTTTGTGTGTGTGCTTGCGTGCACACATTTAGAGCAGTTGTCCAAGTTGCTGAGTGGGTTAGGAGACAAGGAAGCATGCAAGGCAGAACCCAACTATTGCATCAGTAGCTACATCCTATAAGGAAGGAGGTGAAAGGCAAAGGGAGAAAGACAAGAGAAGGAGTGTTAGTTCACTGTTAAAAACTCAGCCGTACAGCAGAGCTAGCTTTGAAGGGCTCTGCGGTACAGGATCTGCTTCGCACCTGGGTAGGGCTGGGAATGTCCCCTGCGCGAGACCCTCGAGAGCTGCAGAAAACGCTGAGCAAGATGGACTCAGGCTCTGACTCACTATAAGCTGGCTTCCTGTGATCCCAGCACACACAGCAGAATGATGCTTGTATCTTTAAGCAGAGATTGGAACAGTGCGTTTACTGTCGGAGCCTTAATTCTTTCCCCCCATTTCTATGTAGATAGTCTGGTTGGGGACAGGGGAGGTGTAGCTGTTTGAAAGCAAGACCTTTGTGCCTAGGTGTGTGCTGAATTACCACACACGTATATGCCCCTCTGAACCCACAAGTGAATTCAGGAGGGGCAGCTGGTAACCTAATAAGGAGTCTATCTTGCAGAAATAGCGAGAAGTTAGGACCCAGGGGACCTTAGCCATTCTCCTTAGCAGTGGGCAGGACTCTGGCTGTGTACACACCATAGATTTAAAGCATGTGACTTCCCCCAAAGAATCCTGGGAGCTGTCGTTTGCCCCTCACAGAACTATGATTCCCAGCACCCTTAACAAACTACAGTTCCCAGAATTATTTTTGGGAAGTTATGAACAGCCGTGCCAAGGGTGATCAGCTCAAACACAGTAAACCATGGCTTGCAGAGGGAGCCAAAATGGCACCCTTTAAAAAAGTCGGACTACATTTCCCATCAGCCCCAGCCAGCAGGGGCAAAGGCCAGGTGCGATGGGAATTGGAGTTCAACAATTTTTGGAGGCCGCCTTGTCAGCTCTCCCTGCAAACCATGGTTTACCATGTACAAGCTGTACCATGTACAACTTTGTGACGCACCGGTGGGCACACTAAAGACACATGGGCCTGCAGTGTTAGTGTGTTAAATGCAGATATGCATGAACCTACAGAAGCTTTCACCCCGTTGCAAATATTGGGTCCCCAACCAGCATAATCAACTGTGATTTCCAGAAGCAGCTTAGAGGCAAGCGGACACAGGGCAATACGTACTCGGCTGATTTCCAGAAATGTCCCGGATGAGAGAGCCTCCGGTTGAGTTTTGGCAGTTTTTCAAGCATTTCCATCAAGAGAGTGAAGCTGGGACGCTCACTGACATCGAAAGACCAACACGCAGAGAGAATTTCCTAAAAAGAGGGCATTGCGTTTTTAACAGGCAGTTGTGTTACTTACTTCACATTGAAAGGGGATATGGCAAGGGTAGGCATGTTTTTGAAAAGCAGCTCAGGGAGAAACATGACCAGACTGGGGAGCTTTCATGGGTTGTTATAACAAGGGAGGTGCAAGGAGTTTTAAGCTTCAATCCTGGCTCCAGAGTTACAGAGGCAATTGAGTTACAGATAGGTAACCGTGTTGGTCTGCCATAGTCAAAACAAAAAAAATTCCTTCCAGTAGCACCTTAAAGACCAACTAAGTTAGTTCTTGGTATGAGCTTTCGTGTGCACGCACACTTCAGATACCTGAAGAAGTGTGCATGCACACGAAAGCTCATACCAAGAACTAACTTAGTTGGTCTTTAAGGTGCTACTAGAGGCAATTGAGTTTCCCTTCAACCAGCTACGATTTCCCAGAGTGGTTAAACAATCCAGCCACCTTCCCAGGAAACTCTGGGAACTGCAACTGGAATGGGAGTCTCCTAGGAACTCTCAGCACACTCAACTACAGCTCCCAGGATCCTTTGGGGTTGCTTTCATGGGTTGTTGTGATAGGGGAGTACGTTTTAGCTACCATCTCGGCTTCTGGAGCAACCAGATTGCGGGTGCCTAGGCTGTTCCCAGCTACTTTAGGCTTAATCCTGCACAGGGATGCAGTCAGAAGACAGGTGTGTAGCAGGTGTGGGAAACCTATAGGCCTCCAGTTGTTTGGGAAGGACCATAGCTTAGTGATAGAGCACCTAGGTTCAATCCTGCCTGAAACTCTGTAGAGCCAATGAATTATAGCCACGGTAGACAATATCAACTCAGATGGGCCAATAGTCTGACTTGGTATAAGGCAGTTTCCTGTGTTGTTGAACTACAACTCCCATCATCCCACACCACTGGACCAAGACATTTTGGAGACTGAAGCAAAGGACAAGATGGTGCTTCTCCCACAATCGAGGCTGGATAGCATCCTCCAGCGCATGGCAGGCTAGCTAAGGAGGCACGAGGCAGGCCTGCCCTCTGAACCCAGCACCGCTATCCCCCTTTCCAGCATCTGAGATCCTGTCACTCTGCCTAACGCTTGGGCCGGCCCCGGGTGGTTGATGTACTAAACGCAGCTGCCAATGGAAGATTCCCCCATCCACTTACTCCAACTTCTTTCCCCAAGCTGCTTGTGGAGAGGACCTGTTTCATGCCTTCGCCACTCCCAATCTGCCAGATCAACGCCTCGGCTGGCTGGCTCTTAAAGGGCCACTCTCTGGCTTGGAGCTCATACCACACGGTCCTGAGAGGCAAAGAGAGGTTTTGAAAAGTTAAAACAGGAAACCTATCAATGTACATCTCTGCCCTTCCTCCAAGCATTATGTCCCCAAGATCTTACGGTATTCTCACTTAAACTGAAAAGTTATTAAGAACTGAAAATTGAGAGCCAAAGGTCTATCACTGTCAGGGCCCAACGACAGACACGTCACCAAGAACATCATGGAGCAGGCCCTGCGGAACTCCCTGCCAGTTGAAGTTCAGTGGGAATCATCCCTCCCTTCTTTTGGGTGTGTTTTTGGAAAACTGGACTGTTTAGGCAGGCCTTTGCAATACGAAATTTCTTCTTTTTAACCAATCGGCGTTTACCGATGTTCTCACACTTACCCAAAAGCATAGACGTCAGCCGCCTTGGAAAACGGGAGCTTATCCTCATCCTTCCCTGGAGCCATCTCGCGCACGATCTCTGGAGCCAGGTAGCACAGCCAGTTGTGGGGCAGTTTCAGTTCGTTCTCGCGCCTGGTGTCAGAAAGGGGAGCGTTACTGGACTTGGTGATGTACCCAGCAAAGTTCTACTCAGAGAATTTCATTTCATTTATTAAACTTATTAGTCACTTGTCACCCAAAGGTTTCAAAGTTCCTTACAACAAAATGAAAAAAGGTATACAGTGGTACCTCGGGTTACATACGCTTCAGGTTAAATACGCCTCAGGTTACAGATTCCACTAACCCAGAAATAGTGCTTCAGGTTAAGAACTTTGCTTCAGGATAAGAACAGAAATTGTGCTCTGGCGGTGCGGCGGCAGCAGGAGGCCCCATTAGCTATAGTGGTGTTTCAGGTTAAGAACAGTTTCAGGTTAAGAACAGACCTCCGGAATGAATTAAGTACTTAACCCGAGGTACCACTGTACAATACACAATACTATAGGGAAAAGGGGTGTACATCATATAATACATGAATATTTCATATAACATCCATGCGGGGGGGACGGGTGACAGGGACATGCCAGTAGCGAACAACATTTACAATACTCAAAACAATAAGCAAAGCAATACTCTAACCCCCCAACTAGCAAATAAGCAAAACCTCAACCACCCTCTAGTCCAAAAATCATCAACATCGAACCAGCATTTCCCCCCATTTAACCTTTCCACCCCACCCAGAAATCTGGGGTCAAGGCCAATGTTACAAATCAGTGGTGGGTGGGTCGTCCAGGGATGGTCTGGTATCTCTCCTCTCCATTCAGGGGGACGCAGCAGCAAAGCAAAGCAGAAAGATGGCAACAAAAGTTTCACCTGCTTTGCAGGTGACCTGGCTACTGCTCCTGTCTTGCCTCTGGTGCAGTGCAGACCCATTAAAATAAGCGAACCCATGTTGGTTCACTTTGGCAGGTGTACCTTGAGCGGGGCTAGCATTGGATCCAAGCCAGTACTCTACAAGGCCAACACAACTGGGGAACTCAAAGGAGGGGATAACTCAGTGGAACAAGATACCATACATTCCCATGTATTAGACAAGGGTTTTTTACTCCAAAATAAAGTAAAAAATGGGGGGGGCATCTTATACATGGGTAGTGCAGAGGGGGGATGGGTGATTGGTTGCCTCCGCGAGCAGGATTGGGTGAGTGAATGGTGTCTGCTGCAAGGGCTGCTTTGTATTGGCTGCTGCTTTGTGAATCGGGTGGATTACCGTATTTTTCGCTCTATAACACGCACCTGACCATAACACGCACATCGTTTTTAGAGGAGGAAAACAAGGGAAAAAACATTCTGAATGAAACAGTGGATGTATCATTTTTGTGCTTCATGCTGTGGCCACAGACATGTGATCTGATGGTGAATTTGGGGTGACCCAATGCAAAGATCCTGAGGATCCATGTGGATCCATGCTTTGTAACCATGTTTTTGTGCCATTGCAGCCCCAGGCAACAGTGGGTGCGTGATTTTTGGGGGGCAGGCTGTAGCCATGGACATGCTATGTGATCTGATGGTGAATTTGGGGTGACCCAATGCAAAGATCCTGAGGATCCATGTGGATCCATGCTTTGTAAGTAACCACGATTTGATTTTTGCCTCCACTCGCCCCAGTCGGCTCCAGGGACCACACATTCGCTCAATAACACGCACAGACATTTCCCCTTCCTTTTTAGGAGAAAAAATCTGCGTGTTATAGAGGGGAAAATACGGTATTTGTGGATGCAGCACGGGCTGCTTTGGATTGGCTGATACTTTGTCAAATGGACTGGTTATTAGCAGATGCGTCAAGGGCTGCTTTGGATTGGCTGCTGCTTTGGCAACTTGGATTGTGTTGCTTGCTATTGTTAGCATGTGCCAGTTGGGTGAGTGATATTTGGTTCAGCATTCCCCCCACCCCAAATTGCTCATTTTCTTAAATTTGAGCCCCCCCAAAATAGGGGGTGTCTAATACATGGGGTTGTCTTATAGATGGAAAAGTACGGAAAATAAGATGAAATGGGGGGGGGGGCTTCTATAGGCGCCATAACTCAGTGGCAGAAGGTCCCACGTTCAATTCCTGGTTCACATAGAAGCAAATGGAGATAGAGGTAGCAAAAGAAAACTTACCTTCCCTCCTGAACCACACCAGAAATCCCGAACAGACCAAAGTCTGTGATCACAACTTTTCCGTTTTCATAGAAAACGTTCTTCGACTTGAGATCTTTATGCACAATCCCTTTTGCGTGGAGATACCCCATGCCCTGGAAAACATCAGTCTGTTAGCCTTTTTGCAGGCAGATCTGCATTCCTTGGCGTGCTACCCGGTCAAGCCCCTGCTGTGTCCACTCCTAGACCCCTCCTGCTTTATATAACATTTCCTTCTCTTTCTGCTCATCTTGCACGCACCTGTCACCCATACTGTAGAAGGGGACAGTGTGGGCTCCTATGGTATGGTGAAATAGCACAGCCTTGAAATGAATCTCCCCAAGTTACTAGCACACACACAGCAAATATCACTAGCTTTGTTGCCCTACGCAGTTTATATCAGTCATTTGTGGGCAAAAGAAAGCCAGTTATTTAAAGATGTCTTTGCCTGAGCCCCTGAAAGAGAAACCTAAACTCCAAGTACCACTGCCAAAAGCAATATTGACAGTCATTGTTTTAGATCCAGGATGGGCAACCAGTGGCCTTCAGGTGTTGCTGAACTACAACTCTCATTATCCACTACCATTGACCATGCTGGCTGGGGTGGATGGGAGAACATCTGGAGACACACAGATGTTCTCCATCCCTGTTCAAATGTTTACAAGAGAAACAGAAGAGGCGGGGCAGAAAGGCAGAGCAGTGGCTCCATCCACCATTGGCTCCAGCCCCCAATTCATGTTTTCCACAGGGAAAAATGGTTCCCTATCCCAGGTAGCCTTACATATTACCTTAATAATCTTATGCAAAATGCTTCTTACCTTAATGATCTCCTGGGCGATCTGCCTGGTCTTGTTAATATCCAAAGATATCTTGGGATCCCTTACAAACGAATGAAGCGTTCTTCCTTTGCAGAAGCTAAGGCAGATGTGGGTAGACAATTGAGTTAAGAAGAAAAATCAGAACTGTCTTGTGATGAGTAAATGGTATAAGGAATGGTTATGCTCACTTCATACTATCCCATCACAAACAGGCACATACCCTGGCTGAAAAAAGCTACAGATCCATAGGTAGGCAGGTAAGAAGAGTCCAAGGGTATAAATGATGGAGCATGATAACTGTCAGAACTAAACGCGGTTGTCTTCAAACCAGTGCTTGCAACTGAGGTCAGGGGCTGGTTTGCAACCTTGGTCAAAAGCATAACTGCCAATAAGGATCTCCAGATTTTGTTTTTCGAACAAACAATGCACTGATTCGTATTTTAAAACTGTTATTCCACCCAATAGCTAGCTCACAGAGCAGCTCATAATAAAAAGAGGCGACCAAATATCAAAACTACACTAAATTGTATCTTTTTTAAAAAACAACAACACACATTCAAACAAGTAACTCAAAGGAGCATGCAATATAATCAATAGAGCACCAGTACACAACACCAGCACAAACTGAAAACTTGTTTTTTAAAAAATATAAAAAATGTCCCCATGAAAATTCTGTAAGATTCTCATCAAAGATAAAGCAATGCTCCCCTCAGAAATGAAATAGCAGTTCTGAAATCCCTCTATGCAATTTCATCCGGCTCATCACACGCACCCTTGGGTTTTAGAGGATTATTCACCTCTTCTTCCGATTCATTAAATTTGTGGATTGTTCGGTAGCTTACAAAGTTATTGCTTATTGCTCCATACTATTCTTTTAGGATAAACTTTAGATGGGGCACTTTGGAAAGTAAAAGATGAGGCCAGCAGCCACACCTTCGATACGCAGTTTGGAACTGTTGAACTAACAAAGCCCTAGCAGATCTAATTTCTGTTTAAGTGCCAAAATAATAACAATAATAATTTTAAAAATCAAGATGCTTACCTAGTAATGATTGCTAGGTGAGGGGGTTCATGCAGGCCCCCATGAAAAGCACCACATTCTCATGTCTGGTTTGTCTGTAGTTCATCACCTCCTTCTTGAACAGTTTCAGGTGGTCCTGATTGTTCCCATCGATTTCCAGCAACCGGATGGCCACCTCCCCGTGCCATTTCCCCCGGTAGACCTTGCCCCACCGCCCTTGGCCAATGGGGTCGCCCAGCTTGATCTGCTCAAAGGGGATGTCCCATTCCTGCAGGTAGACGCTGGTCTGGCTGACATTCCGGGACATCACCCCTCGCCGCCAGCGGTCTCGCCGCTTCGGCAGGTCGTCAACCTCATCTTCATCATCCTCGGCTTCCGATTTGTTCTGTTCTTGGTCTTCCACGTGCTTGGGAAAGAAACGGGTGTTGGGAATATCAGATACCGAGTCCTGGTTGGCCACATCCTCCCTCCCCAGGCCTTGTGGTGGAAACCCTTTGGATCGTCCCACTTCAGCATGTCTAAATCTCCAATACCCTTGGACACACCCCCCCCCTAACACCTTGCATTAAGAACATAAGAAGACCCTTGCAGGATCAGGCCAATGGCTCATCTGGTCCAGCATCCTGTTCTCACAGTGGCCAAACAGATGTCTGCAAGGCCTGCAAGCCAGACCTGATCAACTCTTCCTTCCTGTGGTTTCCAGAAACTGGAATTCAGAAGCATGCAAACTCTGGCAGTGGAAGAAGAGTATAACCATGTTGGTTAGCGGCCACGAATAGTCTTATCCTCCGAAAAATTGTGTAATCCTCTTTTAATGGATTCACATTGATGACTAAAGGCAAAGGTAAAGGGACACCTAACCGTTAAGTCCAGTCGTGATCGACTCTGGGGTTGTGGCGCTCATCTCGCTTTATTGGCTGAGGGAGCCGGCATACAGCTTCCGGGTCATGTGGCCAGCATGACTAAGCCGCTTCTGGCGAACCAGAGCAGCTCATGGAAATGCCGTTTACCTTCCCGCTGGAGCAGTACCTATTTATCTACTTGCACTTTGACGTGCTTTCGAACTGCTAGGTTGGCAGGAACATTGATGACTACCGCTGCCTTTTGTGGAAGCAAATTCAATAGTTTAATAGTGGAAGATAAGTCCCTTCTTTTGTCTGTCCCGAATCTTCCAATGTTTATCTTGAATTCAGTTCTAGCATTGTGAGAGAGGGTGGGGGAGAACTTTCCTCTGTTCGCTCTCTCCTCGTCATGCATCATTTTATATATATATTTTTCATCAGACCTTTTATTGGCATCACATACAAACATCCGAAACAAATCAACACAGAATCACCACTTCCCCAGTGGCACAAAACTTTTGCTAAAAGAAAGGAGGCAGAGCAGTCTATCGTCACATCTCTAGGTCTCCAGGGAGATCAGACGTCTGCGGTATATTTCGATGACAAAAAACCAAATAGAGATATTTAGCCACTAACTTGGTGAGCTCCTGATCATTCCCCAGTAATAGAAAACGTATGACCTCATTTTATATGCTATCATGTCACCTCTTACTCGCTTTGTCTCTTAACTAAAAAAGTCCCAGTTCCTACCACCTTTCCTCATCAGTGAGTTTCTCCATCCCCTTATATAATTAAATAATTTCATAAGTTGTGAGTCTTTGTTTCTCATGATTTTGTATGTATTGTGGTATTTTATGCATTGTGACTTGCAGTTATTTTTATTTCTCACAGTTTAGTAATTACTTATTGGTTAAAGGCGAATTTCTGTCTAATTATTTGCTGATGTTTTGGGAGTTAATTTTATTGTGTTCTAATAGATTACTGAATATTACTTTATTTTATATAAGCCATTCCATTTTAAAGTTATGTTTTGTTTTTGTATTCATTATATGGTGTGCGTTCTTTGTTGTTTATGTTGTTGCTGCAAAAAACGCCTTGTGGACAGTAATATAGAAAGGTGGTATACAAATTAAAAGTGAAATGAAACTATAATTTTGAACCTTTTCTGAACCTTTTCCAACTCCACAATATCCTTTTTCATGTGAGGCAACCAGAACTGTAAACAGTATTTCAAATGTGGTTGCACCACAGATTTGTATAGAGGCACTGGGATGGACCAGGCACTCGCCTAAGTCTCTGACACCTTGTTCCTGATTCCACTGCCTTGCTGAGTTGCACCTTGCCTGAACACTCTGTGCTAATCAACCTTGCACTGTGGCCTGACCTAGCCTCTGGGTCATGTTTTGGGCCAAGACTGACTGTGCTTGACCTTGGCTTGTAGAGACAAGACTGCACCTTGAACCCGACCTTCTTGGATAAGTGTTTCGGGGAAAGGCTTTTACCTCCTGAGACTGAATCTCCAGAGGGGCACCCCCTGGAGAACAACAGAAACATTCCAGTGTAGCCAACAGAATAGGCTGCTCTGCGTGCGCTCGGTTGCAGGGTGAGTGTGGGTGCCTATGGGTCCACAAAGGTTGGCAACCCCAGCTATACGAATTAATAATTTCAGTCCTCAAAAAAACCCTCAACAAATAGAGACTTACCTCCACGTCACGTTCTTCAACCCCGTCCGTCTCTAGGTGCTCATCAGCACTATTTGACAGAAAAAAAGGGAAAAGAGAGAGTTGAGTTGACAATGCAAGATGGCACAAACGATTGAGAGTTATGATGGCCCAATGACTGAGGTTCAGGTAGAGATGGGAGACTATGTCACTGTTGATTCTTTCATTTTTCCTGCCTTAGGTTCAGTTCACCACATCGGTTTGCAATTTATTTTTTTGTAAGTCTTCCCAAAAAATTGTCAGCATTTTAGTGTAAATTTATCCTGCTGTACATATTTTTATATATGCAATTTTGTCTAATAGTCACATGATTATGTCAGCATGCCTGATGGTGGTGGGACCCTGACACTGGCATTAAATGATTAAAAAAACCAAAAAACCAGTGAGGGCTGACCATGCTCAGTAACCACGGAATATTGACCGGAAAAGAAAAATGGAAAACTGGGCAGGGGAACGGAATGGAGTATCTATGAGAAGGGCACATCTAGTTGGCTAGAACAGGAGCACCCCGTTGGGCAGTGAGAATACAACATAATGTTTATTAGTTGATTCCTCCTGTCCAAATAGAATTGTTAGAAGGAGAAAGAGAGAAAAACAAAGACTAACCGACTTACTTAGTGCTTTCAGTAGTTTCCGAAGGTTGTGTTACTTGGGGAGTGTTGGGAATTTCTACAGAAAAGAGCAATATATGAAAAAAGAAATTGATGTTTGCATTTCAAGGTTGTCGTCATTTTGCTTTTAACAGCTGCAATAACATTCACCCAATAAGTACCTAGCCACATAGAACTAAAGACCTAATATACACAATTCAGAAGAATCACAGTCTGTAGCAATCCTAGACTGTACGACTTCAGACTTTGATTCCCCATCAATCAAATCTACTACATAACCTTCTAGAAATGTAGGTTAAAATCTCTCTTCCTGATGTGTGTGCTTTCTACATGCAGTGCAGGGAAACATTTCAATAAACGATTCCCTCCTCGCCCCTCAACTGCGGACTGAAGTGGTACATTCCCATGAGGCCTGTTACACATTTATGTGACCCTAGTCATCACACTGTGGCAATACTATGCAGTGCTGGAAAGCAGATTGCACCATTTTGCAGTAACTGAGCTCCTACAAGACTAGACCAGCACTCCAAGCTTAGCAAATCATATGAGCAAAACAATTTTGCTGGTAACAGGAAACTACTACCTTAGCTTAGTATCTTATCCATGGGCAGGCAAACTAAGGCCCAGGGGCTAGATCTGGCCCAATTGCCTTTTAAATCCGGCCCGCGGACGGTCTGGGAATCAGTGTGTTTTTACATGAGTAGAATGTGCCCTTTTATTTAAAATGCATCTCTGGGTTATTTGTGGGGCATAATAATTTGTTCATCCCCCCCAATATAGTCTGGCCCCCCACAAGGTCTGAGGGACAGTGGACTGGCCCCCTGCTGAAAAAGTTTGCTGACCCCTGATTTATCTAACAGTGCCCCTCCAATTTTGTAAGAAGATGTCTTTCTCATCACATCCTTAATGTCCCTTTTAATCTGGAAATATCTGGGATCAGATCTGGGACCTCTAGATCCACAAAATCTGTGCCCCACCACAATGCCATCATCTCTCTCTGCTGTGCCTGTCCACTATTACATCTGCTTTGGTGTTTTATACAAAACTCACCACACTGCCAGCACCAAACAAGATATTGTAGTGCTGCTTTCGCTGGCTCTTTGTGGACTACAGCTCCCATCATCCCTGATCACAGGCCTCAGCTGCTGGGGCTGATGGGAATTAGAGTCCAACAATATCCAGAGAGCCCCATGTTTGCCACCACAGCAGTAAACCGAAGTTTTTATTTTACATCGCCATTGAAGGAAATCAATAATAATAATAGTTGTTGTTGGTTTGCACCCATCAGCACTTCCTGTGCTGTTTAAACAACATTGGCACTGCAGGGGAAAGGAAATGTTCCAGTTTGTTCATGCAAGCAGGGCAGAACGTTGACGCATCATGCAGAAGGAAGTTAAGTCACTTCGCCCTAAGCCCACCCTCCGTTCTGAGAGTGAGGGGGAAACAGGAGCGTTAGGAGAAATGGCACCAGCTAGTTAGAAGCAGAAGAACTCACCTGGGAAGATAAACTGTTGTCTATGCTGAATGTAGTAGGCAGCTTTTTAAAAAAGGAAGAAGGAAAAGGAGGAGAGGACAGCAAAACAAAATGTAAAAAAAATCACAAGAGATTAGCATGTGAGAAAACCATGTCAGCAACTGCCCCCATAAATTCAGTGAATTAATTCAAGTTCATCATTAGTAAATTGTAAAACAAAACAGGCAAGGCGGGTGCATTTGAGTGCATGCATTTTGGAAAGGTTGCAGCTGGGTTGGAGAATGCATCACCTCCTTTCACATTCAGAAGAACAATGCAAAACTTGATTTAACTGCCATTTATAGCAAACCACACATCTCCAAATCAAGGTGCATGGCCCCAGAGGTGGATAAACCTACTGGTGTAGCTCCCCTTCCCTGGCATTAAAAGTATAAATGAAACAACTTAACCTAATGGTAGGGTTATGGCTCTGCTCCAAGCATCCCCTGTTCTACCACCCTGGTCCCAGGGAACAAAACCACAAATTTACCTGGAAAGTTGAACCGGCTGTCCCGTTGGCCCATGGGAGATGGGTTTGGGGGTGGCGTTGCACTGGGGGGGTTGGAAGACGGGAAGGGGGCTGGGGAAGACGGCGTGGAGGAGGTTGTGGAAGATGGATTGCTGCTGGAGTCGAGGTGGTTAATTGTAGGCGGGTGGTCCTAGAAACAGACAAGAGAAGGCAGAAATCATGAGCCTTAAGCCTTGATAGCTCTGATTCAGCCAGAATGTTTTCCATCACTTCTAAAAGGTTATAAAAAGCTCGCAGAAACAGGGGAAGAACCGGGAGGAGCACGTCGCATGCACATTAATTATCAAATACTTGTTCAATATAAAACACAATATTTATCATAGTGCAAAGCATTTACCAGAAGACAAAATAAGAAGTTTTACAAACTAAATTTAATTCAGATCTGCACCCAAGGAAGCAGATGTTTTAAGCAAAGAAATTATAACTGGCTTCCAGTTATGCAAAGTTTGTTTCTACTGTACGCCAGATTTCTAATAAGCAATTAATTTAAACAAACCAAATAACTCTGAAGTGAAATCTGCTGAGTTCAATGAGATTTAGCCCTAGGTAAATGTGTCTATGACTGCAGCCTTGTTCTTTTTTTTAATTGTTTGGCCAGTCACGGGGGTGCAATCCTCTTCTGGGGGTCCTCTGCTGGGCTTCGCACCCTTTTTGTAAGCCCAGTACCTTTTTAGTTAGAGCTTTCGGAAGAGTCCCAAACTGCGGCTCTGATGGTCGGTCCACCGGGTTATTGATGTCAGAAGGGACAGACTCTGCCCGCTTTAATCGGGGTACTATTGAGGATGGGTGGAAGAGGAAGGGGGGGGAGGAGAGAAAACAATTTCTTGTTATTGCAACAACACCAAGGTGACAAATTAGCTTGGGTAGGGCAGAAATGAGGGGGGGTACCCAATTAAAAAAACCTCACACTTACTGGGTAAGAAAGATATTCTACAAGGTGGGGCTTCTTTCGTGCATTTGTTATGACACTTTAATCTGCAGACAAGAAAAAGGTGAATTAGAGATTATATAACATTATATATAGGCATCCCCTGTTTTAGACGTGACTGATATGTGTGTAATTGTGTACATGTGCACAGTGCAGGACCTGGAAACATCCTAAAAGATGTCACTAAAACGGGATGCAGGTGGCACTGTGGGTTAAACCACAGAGCCTAGGGCTTGCCGATTGGAAGGTTAGTGGTTCAAATCCCAGCAACGGGGTGAGCTCCCGTTGCTTGGTCCCTGCTCCTGCCACCCTAGCAATTCGAAAGCACTTCAAAGTGCAAGTAGATAAATAGGTACCTCTCTGGCGGGAAGATAAATGGCATTTCCGTGTGCTGCTCTGGTTCACCAGAAGCGGCCTAGGCATGCTGGCCACATGGCCCAGAAGCTGTACGCCGGCTCCCTCAGCCAATAAAGCGAGTTGAGCGCCGCAACCCCAGAGTCAGTCATGACTGGACCTAACGGTCACGGGTCCCTTTACCTTTATATACTTATTTAATTTACATCCCAACTGGTCAGGGGTCCCTTTACCTTTACCTAAAAGGGCAGAACGAGGACAGAGCACTGCAGAGTAGGGGGGGGCAGAATGGGGTGTTTCAATGAAGTTCAAGAAGTTCAAGAAGGACACTGACAAACTGGAACGTGTCCAGAGGAGGGCAACCAAAATGGTCAAAGGCCTGGAAACGATGCCTTATGAGGAACGGCTAAGGGAGCTGGGCATGTTTAGCCTGGAGAAGAGGAGGTTAAGGGGTGATATGATAGCCATGTTCAAATATATAAAAGGATGTCATATAGAGGAGGGAGAAAGGTTGTTTTCTGCTGCTCCAGAGAAGCGGACACGGAGCAATGGATCCAAACTACAAGAAAGAAGATTCCACCTAAACAGTAGGAAGAACTTCCTGACAGTAAGAGCTGTTTGACAGTGGAATTTGGTGCCAAGGAGTGTGGTGGAGTCTCCTTCTTTGGAGGTCTTTAAGCAGAGGCTTGACAACCATATGTCAGGAGTGCTCTGATGGTGTTTCCTGCTTGGCAGGGGGTTGGACTCGATGGCCCTTGTGGTCTATTCCAACTCTATGATTCTATGATTCTAAAGGCACGTGCTTTCATGCAAGCGCGCAATGACCTGGAACGCAACCACTGTGCAAATCGGGGGTTGCCTGTAATTGTAAGGTTGGAAGGGACCACGAGGGTCATCTAGTCCAACCATCACGTCCCAGTTCATGTCCTCACTTGACCACGAAGCTCGCAGGGTGACTTTGGGCCAGTCGCTCTCTCTCTCAGCCTAGCCTACCACCCAGGATTGTAGTGCGGGTAAAATTAGCAGGGGTGATAAAACGATTAGTGGGTAGAGCCAAGTATGTCACCCTGGGCTCTGGAATTAAAGTCACAGAAAGGAAGCCTCCAGTTGAATTCCTTTGAACTGGAATGCCAAATTTCATTTACATAATTGCATTTATCGCCCACCATTCCTCCAAGGAGCTCAAGCGGGGGGGGGGGGGCTGTATGGGGTTCCCTCTCTCTCAATTTTATCCTCACAACAACCCTGAGGCAGGTTAGCCTAAGAGACAGTGACCAGCCCACTACCCTCTTGGGTTATGACGGCTGAATTGCCTCGCAGGTATGCTGGCCCACATACCTGGGCCAGGTGAAGGGGGAAGGTCCTCATCGCACACTTACCTGCAGTGTTTGCACTTCACGCCAAACATCATGCTTTTCTGACACACCTGGCAGACCTGAGAAAGCCATGACTTTGCAGAGAATCTGAACGAGAGGAAGCAAGCCAAGACAAAGAAGAGACGTTTGTATTTTGCACAATTTGTAAACGGTGTCTGTTTGATAATGTGTGGTAAAGGATCTTGATTGACAAAGAAGACACAAAGGAGAGGAAGGTTTTTAAAAAATGTATTATCAGGGAAAAAATTCGAAATCTGAAAAAAGAAGAAGGGAGCCATATTTGTGAATTTCACGTGGTTATATTCCACCAGGGAACAGTTCATTCCTATCTGCCCTCTACCCCACCAGTATCATGCCACAGAAAACATTTTAGAGCCGTGTTTTCAAGCAGAGGTCATAGCACGAGGGCAGAGAAGGTCCTGTGCAAAGCAGAAGGTTCCAGAAGACTGCTGTTGGGTCACCAAGTAGCTTTACAGTGGTGCCCCACAAGACGAATGCCTCGCAAGACGGAAAACCCGCTAGACGAAAGGGTTTTCCGTTTTTGAGTTGCTTCGCAAGACGGATTTCCCTATGGGCTTGCTTCGCAAGACGAAAATGTCTTGCGAGTCTTGCCATTTCCCCCCCGCTTCCCCCCCTTTTCTAAGCCGCTAAGCCACTAATAGCCTTTTAGCAGCTCAGCTGCTAAGCCTTTAATAGCCGCTAAGCCGCTAATAGCGCTAATCCGCTAATGGGGTTGCTTCGCAAGACGAAAGAAACCGCTAGACGAAGAGAATCGCGGAACGGATTCTTTTCGTCTTGCGAGGCACCACTGTACTAGAATTGAAGCGCTAGCTGGTCGCCACTGGTGACAGGGAGTTCCATGCGGGCGAGTGAGCAGTGCTGGGGAAGGAGAGGCAGAAGGCTGCATTTCTAAGATGGCGCCCATACATGGGGGTTTCCAAGGCTGCAGTCTGAACCCCCCACCCACCCAACTCTTCTTTCGCAGACAGTGGAATGAGATTTGCATAGGGGAAAGTCATACTGCTGCAGCAACAAGGGTATGTCCACCCCCAATGGGCTTGAGCTAAGTCTTCAGAGAATCCAATCTGAGCAGCTTGTCACCCACTGAAAGCATGTGGAGCATTTACCTGTGTGTTACAGACAGACCAATATCTCTTCGTACAGTCTGAGGCGATCCCGGGGGGAGATCTGAGAAGCCAAAATTAAAGGCATCGTGTTAGGTTTCACCAGAAAGGAAGGTGGACACTGTGAAACAACACATGGCCCATCCATGCAACAGGTCGGGAGGTTCTCCTTCCTATCGACTCCAGATGGCAGCAAATCCCAGCTCCACACAGCAATACTTCCCCGATGGTCTATTTATCGGGATGCCAGAGCCAGGAGCTCTCATTTCCCGCAAATCATTTGGCAGGGGATGTTACAAAGGGGCAAGTCGTACGGCTGAAGAATGGCACAAGCCACTAATGCAGGGGTGGGGAACATGTGGCTCTGAGGAAGTTCCCGGACTCCAACTCCCATCAGCCCCAGCCAGCATGGCCAACGCTCAGGGGTGATGGGAACTGTAGTCCAACCAGTGGTATCTGGTGCCCACTGAAAATGAAAAGTGCTAGAGATGAACGAATTTGTCAATTTCAGTTTTCTGTTTCTCATTTGTCCAATCTTATATTCGGTTCTCCCTGTTTTTGCAGCCATTTATATTTTTAAATTATATATATTATATATATTATATATATATATATATATACACACCACACACAGCAGTATTGAGTCTGTAGCTCATGTGCTTCTGGCTTGCACTCTTTATAAAGATTTGAGGAGTGAGGTTATGACCCCTCTATTATTGTCCTTGCTGGGTTGCTCGACCATTGCTACCGTGCCCTTACTTTTAGCAGATCAAAATGATCAGGTGACAGCAAGACTGCAAGGTTTTTAGCAGGGGCAGTTAGAATAAGATCTATTATTTGATTATTGATGAAAACCCCCCAAATATATTTTCTATAGTTAAGTTTTTACCTCTATCTTCAGTACATTTTATTTTATTTTATTGCTATAGCTAGTGACTGATGCAAATAAAGATTCTATCTATCTATCTATCTATCTACCTAGGAAAAAACAATCATTGAAAAACATTTAAACATTGCTAGAATTAAAACTATATATACATATTATAGAGAGAGAGTTTTATATATAGTCGTACACACACACACACACACACACACACAAACATACATATTACACAAAATACAATCAGGAGGCTTAGTTTGGTCAGGAATTCGCAGCAATTACACTTCCAGAGTTAACACTAAATACAATCCGTTCAGGATCTGTTTGGTAAACCAAAACAGGTTGTAACCCAAGGTGCGCTTTCGCCAATGGGGCCTCCAAAAATGGGTTGTAATCCCCCCAAAATGGGTTGTTAATCCAAAAAAAGTTTGCAAACCGGAACATGCACTTCCGGGTTGACGTGTTTTGTAAACCAAGGTACCACTGTAACATTACTTCTGGCAAATAAGGCATCACAGCTGCTAGAGGGCCGTGAAAAATTGTGTCCTGGGCTTTTAAGACTCGTCAACCCATGTACTATCTGAAACCCAAAGGGTGTATTGGTTGCCAGATGTGATTTCCCCCCCCCCAGCTCTCCTACCCCCACTAATTAAGTTCCCCAAATTCCAAAACAATACAATTCATAAACTCAGAAACCATAAGCCACAGCTCTGTTTGAAACAACTGATTATTCATATTTTAAAAATGACTAATATGCCTGCAGTCGTGGCCCCAGGTGTTGAAACACACAGAGAAACTTGGTTTCAGTGCAAAGCGACATAAATTCACCACATAAACCCCACTGTCCTTCACGTATAGAAGCATTTTGACATTCAGCCTAGACTCCTTTTAAAACAAGATTGGGGAACTGCAACATCAGAGACAAGACCCAGTGTGGGTCTCTGGGCTGGCCCCTTCTTCTCGGTCTAACACACACAGAGCTTGTATTTCTTATCACAAGAATAACTGAGATAAGAAAGGAAACATCTTTCCACATGAAGGCACCCAAAGAAACCGTGAGAATACGAAAGGAACAAACTCTCTGTGTCTCCTCTTTTCAGCAGAATTTCATTTTCTTGGTGGGGAGGAGAGACATACCCTAGAAGGCAGGCAGGCAGAAGTTGTTTGTGACAGATATGGGGGACAGAGGCCGCCTTAATTATTCCATTTAACTGAATAGACACTAGAGGCAGACATTTTCACCCCATGGCTGAAACTAACATAATAAATTAGACAATCAATTTCAGTTCATTCAGCACAAGGGTAATGTAAAAAATATGCAGCAAATAGAATAGTGTTTTATGATGTAACATTTGCAAACTAAAAAAAGCTCCACAAGAAGAGTGGGTGCTACGCGTATTTGCTTGTGTGATTTCCATTCCTGGCCTTCTATGAACATGCAAATTGCTGCAATTTCTGCTCCCGTGGGATTTGCTGACATCACAAGGTAAGGACCAGGTAACACCCTCATTCTCCTCCACCACCGTCTTTTCTACCCTTTCACTGTTACTTAAAATTCTCTAGAGCCTGACACCACGTAGAAAAATAAATGTGCCCTTTTATTTGAGCACCTAATTTGCTGTCCGTCCCCGCAACCTTCAGCATAGAATGTAGGATTTTAGATGGGGGCAGTCAGAGGATCTCCAGAGCACAGTTAGGGTGTTTCTATCCAACTAAGTTCTACTCTAGATATTTGTATCCGCCACTGGCCTTTGGATGGTCTACTCAAGAGCAGACCCAATGAAATGATGGAACTCTTAGTAGCACTTAGTTTGCTGATAATCTAAGCAAAAGGTAAGATCAGGAGCGGGGAACTTTTGGCCCCCGAGACGTTACTGAACTCCTGTTTTCCCTGGCCACTGGCCATTGTGCCTGCGGCTGTTGGGAGTTCTAGTTCTGCAACATCTGCTGGACTAAAAGGCCTCCCCCCCACCTGCTAGGGTTCATCGCACAACATGTCATTAGAGGCAAAGGAAGTAAAGGGAGCAGAACAAAAGAATCGTAAAAATTATCTGCCACTGGAATTTCCTCACATGCTCGGAATGAGTCATGGTTCACACTTCGCACTCAGCCCAGCCACACCACTAAACCAAGCTTTCATGCATGACGCAGTTTCTTTTTTAAACAACTATTTTAAAACAACCCATCCCTATAAAGAGCCAACCCAGACTAGACACAATGGGAGCAGGCCTAAATGTTCAAAACAAGGACGGGGGGGGGGGGGGGATGGACGACCTGTGGTGTTCCAGGGCCACAGTCACACCACAGATTTAAAGCACCATGATGCCACTTTAACAGACACGTCCCACCCCCTGCAAAAAAAAGAGATTCAGGAACTGCAATTTGCTCAGGGTGCTGAGACAATCTCATATTCCCCTCACAGAGTGGTTCAACAGCCAACCCCTCTTCCCAGTGGATTCAGGAAATTGCAGCAGAGTGACTGCTTGGGCCTACTGTTCTGAAGAATGCACAAGATGCAGGCAAACAGAAGGTTGTGTGAAAGGCTACCCTCCAAACCTACGGAAGTCATGTTTTTTTCACCCCCCACTCCACTGATGGCGAGAAGGTTGCCAAAAGAATGCCTCTCTTACCGAATCTAAAAAAGAGAGAGAGAAAAAAACAGGGGGTTAGAATTGAGCCATAGGGATATATCAAAGATACAGTGGTACCTCGGGTTAAGTACTTAATTCGTTCCGGAGGTCCGTTCTTAACCTGAAACTGTTCTTAGTCTGAAGCACCACTTTAGCTAATGGGGCCTCCCACTGCCGCCACGCCGCAGGAGCACGATTTCTGTTCTCATCCTGAAGTAAAGTTCTTAACCCGAGGTACTATTTCTGGGTTAGCGGAGTCTGTAACCTGAAGTGTATGTAACCTGAGGCGTATGTAACCCGAGGTACCACTGTATATACAAAGCTGCCATATACCTTAAATGAGACACAGTATATGATAAGGGACATGGGTGGCGCTGTGGGTTAAACCACAGAGCCCAGGCCTTGCTGAACAGAAGGTCGGCAGTTTGAATCCCCGTGACGGGGTGAGCTCCCATTGCTTGGTCCCTGCTCCTGCCAATCTAGCAGTTCGAAAGCACATCAAAGTGCAAGTAGATAAATAGGTACCGCTCCGGCAGGAAGGTAAATGGCGTTTCCGTGTGCTGCTCTGGTTCGCCAGAAGCGGCTTAGTCATGCTGGCCACATGACCCGGAAGCTGTACACCGGCTCCCTCGGTCAATAAAGCGAGATGAGCGCCGCAACCTCAGAGTCGGCCACGACTGGACCTAATGGTCAGGGGTCCCTTTACCTTTACCTTTAGTGTAGTGGTTAAGAGTATTGGACAAAGACCTGAAAGACGAGGGTTCAAATCCCTCCTCGGCCATCAGGTTCACCAGGGTGACCTAGGGCCAGTTACTGCTTCTTGGCCTAGGCTACCTCACAAGGATAAAAAAAGGTGAAGTAGATTCCTTCATAGCAGGGGGTTGGGCTAGATGACCCTTGGGGTCCCTTCCAACTCTACAACTCTATGATACTATGAAATGCAATAAAATAAAATCAGCAAGACCACTGGTCCGGTATTTCTACATTAGTGTTCTTCAGTGTTGGGTCCCTGTACATCCTTGGGATTGCCACCCACATCATCCATTGCCAACTTAGCCAAATGTCCAAACGACACCCAGCATTGAAGAATACGGCTGTGCACTTATCAGCAGAGTCTCTCCAAGTTTTTGGACAGCCCTTCTTGCAGATGCCGGAGGTGAAACCTGGGACCTTCTGCAAGCAAAGCAACCACTAGTCTATTTTGCTAGGGCTCCTCCCAAATCGTCAGAACCAAAGCAATGCAGCCCTCCTGATAACAATGCACCTTTGGGCTTCATTTGCAATATTTTTGGCATTAGTTCCAAGAAGCCAATGTGACTTGTTGACTCGCAGCGGTTCTCAACCTGTGGGACCCCAGATGTTGTTGGACTACAACTCCCATCATCCCTGAGCTCTGGCCTTGCTAGCTAGGGGTGATGGGAGTTGTAGTTCAACAACATCTGGGGACCCACAGGTTGAGAAAGGCTGGCTTAGAGGTTCTTGGTTTTCTGGTTGTTGTTTTTTACAATTAAGCAGTATATAAATGTTGTTATTAAATGAACAAAAATAAATAAATAGAAAAATTCAGTCTGTTGAGAGGAGGGGGTGTTAATAGGTGTGTGTTTTGGGTTTCAGTCCAAATCTCTTTTTAGAGAGGTGGCCTTAGGTCAAACAACTGCAGGCCAGTGCTCAACTCAGCCTCTATTTCCTTGATTTGTAAAATGGGGGTGGCAACAGCCGGTTTTCTAGTGCCGTCGCAATACTTGCAGTAAGAGGAACCAGTTTAGAACCAGTTTACTTGAAAGATATCCTCAGCCCATATATATATGCGTATATCCATTTGGCCAATTTTATCTGTGAAACAGGCATTTTTACAAACACCACACAATCGATCCTTCAATGCAACCGTACCTACACTTCAGAGCTCCCTGTCCATTGATATTAAGCAGGTGCCTTCGCTGTACAGGCGGCAACCATTTTGTGTGCATCCAATTGACACATGACCACTGAAACACAAGTCCTTTGGGACCCGGGAGAGGGAGCTTATGCACACTCTGCCAATGTGTGCGGGGCGCAGGAACAGAACCCCCACACAAAATGGTCACCACCTGTACAGTTTTCAGCACGGGCTGAACATTTTATTTAAGCAAACATACCCAGACACGGTAAATCTGGCATGTTTCCATATGTAATTCAATTCCATATTGTTTATTTTTTTAAGCTGCGGGTTTTATGTTGGGGAAATTTCATGCTTGTTTTTGACTGATAATCTTAATGTAAACGCCTTTGAGGTTTCGAATTACGAGGAAGCAGTACACAGATCCCGTCAAACAAATATATATATATATATATTTTAAAAGGACAGTAATTGTGCTAAAACAAACCAAGGGTTCAACTCTGTGCATGGCAGGGCCTCGTCAAAATGGCAACCCTTGCGTGATAGTAAGACCACAATGCAGCGGATTGGATACTCACTTCATGGGAGGGACTTCATCGATCCTGTTGCCAAGCTGAGATTCGTGGGATTTGCTCCTCGTGAGGGTGGGGAAGTTGGGGAGCAGCTGGAAAACCTTCCGGCTGGGCGGTGGGGGAGTCCGTGGCGGCTTCCCCCTCTTGAGCTGGGGCGTCGTGGGGGGCGTGATGGTGATGCTGTGGGGAGTCCTGAGGTTCCGCCTCCCGCAGTGGGTGGGGAAAGCAAATGACTCCAAGAGGCTGTCGGCGCTGCCGGGGGGCCTTGATCCGAGGAGGACAGGAGCGTGGACGTGGAGACGGAGCGGGCCTGCGGGCCGTTCCCCTTCAGGGACGTCAAGCTGCCGTGAGTCCACGTGAGCGAGGTGGGGCAGGGGGAAAGTTCGGAGGGGGGCATCAAGCTGGCTTCACGGCGTGTGTCTGGCAGATTCCACACCAGGTCGTCTTTGTACTCTCCACCTGCACATGGGAAGAAGATCGCAATTAGACGGCTTTAAGAAAAGGGATTGTATTTTCAATCTTTGTTGGAAGCCGCCCAGAGTGGCTGGGGAAGCTCAGCCAGATGGGCGGTGTACAAATAAATTATTATTATTATTATTATTATTATTATTATCATCATCATCATCATCATCATCATCATTATTATGGCGTGTGCCAACTAGCTGCAAGTCAAGGTGGCTGATTTCTATGTCCAGGATCAGGAGATGATCAACAGCTATTGGGGAACATCAGCAAGAGAGGATTATTGCTCTTGCATCCTGCTATCGGGACGCGGGTGGTGCTGTGGTTTAAACCACAGAGCCTAGGGCTTGCCGATCAGCAAGTAAGCAGTTCAAATCCCCGCGACATGGTGAGCTCCCGTTGCTCGGTCCCTGCTCCTGCCAATCTATCAGATCGAAAGCACGTCAAAGTACAAGTAGATAAATAGGTATCGCTCCAGTGGGAAGGTAAACGGCATTTCCATGTGCTGCTCTGGTTCACCAGAAGTGGCTTAGTCATGCTGGCCACATGACCCGGAAGCTATACGCCGGCTCCCTTGGCCAATAAAGCGAGATGAGCGCCGCAACCCCACAGTCGGCCACGACCAGGCCTTATGGTCAGGGGTCCCTTGACCTTTACCTATCCTACTATCAAGGCAGAATAACTCACAAGGCGTCAGTGAACTCTTGGTTCAAGGAAACAAAACAGCTCAGGCCTAGTGAGCACAGCAACTCTTCCCCAAAGCTCTTGCCCCAATGACGTGGTTGTGTGGACTGAAGATCCCCACCTTCCCACTGCTCTCTAAGGCTCTTCCTCAGCCAAGTCCTTCCCAAGCAATCTGAGGCTCCTTCGCCTTTTCTGTCTCTGCTCCGCACTCTTCATACCTCTGCAGGTTCTGGGAGACCGGGGGAGGGAGGGGAGCTGGTCGCAGCAGGAGGGGGAGAGCCCCTGGCTTCTTCAGCAGCCTGCTTCATCTCTGCCTCCCCCCCCCCTCTCCAGCCTCTGCTTCTCCCTCTGCCTCTGGACTGCTCTCTGCCCCAGCCTCTTCCTGCTCACTAAGTCCTGTTACCTCTCCAGCTTCTGATATATCCTCCTCCTATGCCACACAAGGACACCTGGTGCACAATTAAACCACACGGCTTCCCCCAAACAAATCCTCGAAGCAGCAGTTTGTTCAGAGTGCTGGGAATTATAGCTCTGTGAGGGAGGAAAACTACAGTTCCTGGGCTTCTTGGCGGGGGGGACGGGGACTCACGCGCTTTCAAAGTGCATTGAATGTGCTTTAAATGTATGGCATGCATCTGTGCCTGGCTGGCCACTGGGATACAGGGCTAGATAGACCTCTGGTCTGATCTAGCAAGGATCTTATGATAGATCGCAATAGGCAGACCACACAGTAGCTGTCATTGCCTCTGCTGCCACCTGCTGTTGGGCTCCTTGTCTTCCACCCTACCAGTCGCTAGCAGCAAGGCTGCCTATTGCTTACTGAAATAGAGATCTACCACTGGAGGACCTGCTAGCCTCCAGGAGCAGCACAGGAAGCCTTCTTACCTGTGCGGGTCACTTTCCGCAAGCAGGCGAGAGCCCCATTGAGCCGGGAGCATTCCTCAGCGCTGGCCCCGCACCTCTTCATGGTGTCTTTCACTTTCGATTCGTCCATTTCCAGTAAGGCATCGAGGGTCAACTCCTCCGGTATCCTCTGCAAGAAAGAACAGTGGTTTGTGTACGTGGATTTTATAAGCTCTGTCATTTATTTGTTCAGGAAACTTTTGCAGGAAGATGGAGTTCTGTCTCCACCCCTGCCTAGCCTCCTCCTATTTGGGGAACGAATTAATCACGCTATGTGGTTGTGACGTGCTCAGGTAGATTGCTGAGTCAAGGAAGACGGTCAGGAGCTTGGTCCCTGGTGTGGCTCGTTTGGTGACAAGCAACAGCTGCTTTGGCTAGAGCGTTGCCTCGCTTTGAGTGTTTGTGTGTGTTTTAACAAGGTTGAACAAAGGAACAACGAGAAATTTGTTTCTGACTGGACGGTCCAGTCACTCGCTCCCGGCTTTGAAAGAGTGACGAGGCAGTTGCGGGAAAAGCTGGCTGTGACTTGCGCCCAACCATCACTGCACTCTCCCTGTAAGCAATGACCGGCCTTTCCTGGAGTGGCATCTGTGCCAAAATATATACAAAGAACTGCCCGCCCAAGCATTGCACTTACGCAGGTCCAGAAGATACTGCAAAAGCTCAGCAATATTTGCCACCTGAAGCGGCTGGGGCAACCAACGTGGATGCTTAGACCTCAGCCCTTGCAAATGGGGCAGGTGCTGGGAGTAGCCATCACTGGGCAGCTGCTGAGGCCCACGCCCTTGCAGGAGGGACCACCCCTCGCCCTTTCTGATGCTGCTGCCTGCGTTCACCTCTCTGAGCATGTGCACAGCCACAAAGGTGCTAATATGGACTGGGCTCAGAGGGAGAAGGCAAACAAGTGAGTGCCTTCGAGGGTATAAAAGAGACTCACAGGCAGCCCCCTGCTTGCACCCCTGCAGCTGGCATGGTTAGCAAACAACGCTGCAAAGTGGGTCCATGGGATATTTTGGCCACTGAGGACTGCATTTTCTCATGTGCAAGCAGTAAGTCGGGCTGGAGCCAGAGGCCAGAGTGAACAGGACACCCCCTTTTATTTCTCTGCCACCCCCACCTCCGTCCCCCCCCATCTTCCTATCCTATCCTCATGATATTATGCATCCCACAGTAAGTGCAGTATTAGTATCTCCCATATGGTGGGAGAGGGCCGAGGCTGAGAAAGAGAATGACTTGCCAAAGGGCATCTAGTGAGTCCATAACAGACATGAGATTTAAACAAGCAATGTCCTGATTCATAGCGCAAGCTTTTGGCCCCTGCACCGGGGGTTAGGAACATTCGTTACTGGACTACAACTCCCATCATCCCTGGCTATTGGCCATGTTAGCAGGGGCCAATGGGAATTATAGCCCAGCCACCATTTCCCTTTCACTGCCACATATTTTTCAACAATAAACTTTGTCTTCCAAATTTTCCTCAGGGTGAAAGAGATGGGCCCAAGGTCACCTAGCGAGAATCATGGTCTGGAAGAGATTCAAACTCATCCTCCCTGGTCCTAGTTTGACCCTCTAAGGCAGCGGTTCTCAACCTGTGGGTCCCCAGATGTTGTTGGACTACAACTCCCATCATCCCTGAGCTCTGGCCTTGCTAGCTAGGGGTGATGGGAGTTGTAGTTCAACAACATCTGGGGACCCACAGGTTGAGAAAGGCTGCTCTAAGGGATGGGGGAAACCTGTTGCCCTGAACTACAACTCCCTGGCCACCATCCCTGCTAGCTGCAGCTGATGGGAGTTGTAGTATAATGACATCAGGAAGACTAGAGGTTCCCCACTCTTGCCCTACGCGATGCCAGCTTCTGAAGAGACAATCTTTGGACCCCCACCACCAAGAACAGAAGACTGGAGGGAGGAAGAAGATCCGCCACATGCAAGCAAGAGGCATGCTGGGAAGAAAAGAAACAAGAGAGTTTGATAACTTAAAAAACCAGGCTGGAATCCAAGTCACGAAGCGAGAGAGTTGCTGAGTGTTCCGGAAGCTCGTTCCGACACCAGATGATATAAGGACAGAGTTAGCATGTACTTGCACGAGACAACTGCTTCTTTTAGGAATGCTTCCAATCCGTTTCCTCCTTCCTTCCCTCCCTCCTCTTTTCCCGAAACAAACATCTTAACATGAGCGCAAATGAAACTTGGGGTGGCGTCACCGTCAGGCAGTGCAGACTCGAACCAGCTGACTCCAAGGGGCAGGGACCGGTTCCCCAATCCACACAGCAATAGAGCCCATAGGTCAGACATGGAGACTGTGGGAAGGTTCAACGTTGGGATGTCAAACACAACTCAGGCCTCATCTCCACAATACATGTAAATCAATGCCGTACCACTCCAGCCATCATGGCTGTCCCCCAAGGAATCCTGGGAACTGTAGTTTACCACCACCCCACATATCTATAATCCCCTGACTACAGTTCCCAGGATTCTCTGGGGGGAAGCCATGACAGTTAAAGTGGCATAATAGGGCTTTAGATGCATAGTGTGGATGGAGCATAGGAATCCTCCTGGTTCTAGGCTCAGGTGATCCCGGAGAGCCAAAACCATGTGTCTACATTATATATGTAGGCCCCAAGGCCTACTGCGCTGTTGCTGAGGGAAGCCATTTCCCCACACACACAATGCCTCAACACAACACCACCCTGTGATCTTCAGATAAAAGGAGGCATAGGAATTGAATAAATAATAACAACATTCAAGGGTGTCATGGAGACACTAAAATGGCTGTAGGTGCTGACCCTGCCCATACCAGCTGGGAGTCCCGACTTTTCCTAGCCCTTGGGTCAAGGTACAACACTTAGCCAGAGGTCTATACTATTCTAACCAGGCTGAAGCGTGTTTTTAGGCCAGGGTTTCCCAAACCTGACTCCCCAGCTGTTTTTGGACTACAGTTCCCATCACCCCTGACCACTGGTTCTGCTAGTTAGGGGTGATGGTCCAAAAAGAGCTGGAGAGTCAAGTTTGGAAAACCCTGTTTTTAGGCCCTGATCCATTCATACATAAGAGTAAACCAGCCGAGGCCTCATCTACACTACACATTTAAGGCAGTATCATACCACTTTAGACAGCTATGGCTCCCCCCCCCCAGAGAATCCTGGGGAATGTTGTTTGATAAAGGTTCAGAGAGTTGTTAGGAGATCCCTATTTCCCTCAGAGAACTACAATTCCCAGAGGAATTGACTGTGAAACCACTCTGGGAACTGTAGTTCCATGAGGAGAACAGGAGGCCTCCTAACCACTAAAAGTATGGGGAGGATATCGCCTGTGTAGCAGCATTCAAGGCAGCCAAACAAATTGCTGAAAATGGCACACCTTGCCAAATATTTAGATGATTAATGCTCTTTGGGACCTTTTTGCTACCCTGGCAGCAAGCGCTGCTTCTCTGCACCATTTCCCTTTTTTTGCCTCTGCGGTCACTTCCCCTCAGCGGCCCTCATTCACCCAAACTCCCGTTTCATCCAACTGGCTGCAGTACTTTGCTTTTTGGACACCAAGGATGTTGCAGTGTAGTCACAATGTTGTGGGGGACGGGACCTGGAGGTTGCCAAAAACAAACAGACTAAAAGTCATTGTGGGCAAGCAAAACCAAAGACAGGGTAGGAAGGGAAATGGCACCAAAAAGACCTGTTCTGAAACCGTCTATTTTCATCAGAATTTTCCCAAACAGAACACACTATTGAATCTCCACAAAGGTAAAGATGAAACCAAGAACAGTGACATCACAAGTGCCTTTGGGGTCCTTGTATGAGAAATGCCATCAATAGCTCGTACCCCTGACAGCAGGCACAATCTAGCCTGTTTATTATCATTATCAAGCTGGGCAAAGCAGCACCCTCCCTCTTTTATTCTGCCGTCTTCGCACATAATCTGGTGTCTGAATTGGGTTCCGGAACACGCTGTTAATTCTCACCAACGGGCTGGCTCACACCCAGATCCAAAAGAAAAGCTGCTATCATACAAATGGAGCGCATGCGAGCAAGTGCGGCAGGCACACGTGTGCAAGAGAGAACAGTCCTAAGGAACATTTTGTCTAAAAAAGATGCAATCTGCAGATTAAGTTTCTTTGCATTTTTACAAATGACAGAGCCGGATTCTTTTGCAGAGGCTCCTGGACAAAGGTTTGTCACCCAGCCTACATATTTTTAAGGAGTGGAGCAATGCACAAAAGGAAGCCCTGAGATACCCACCGAATCCCTGACTATCGAAACATCGACTTTTGTTAAACAAGCTAAGCATGCAGTCCTCATTATGGTGGAAAGCAACTTTTAGAATGAAGGCAGCGTCCATCAATGATGGACTAGAGTGCATTTTATCCAGGTTTCCAAGAGCAGTATCTTCTTTGCTTGCCACACTCCTGTTCTCAAGTGCCGCCACAACTTTCCACATTACAAGTTTCCCATTACATCCAGGTTTGAGGGTGCCTCTGGCAAAGTACAAGCATGTGGTTTTCCTCTGCGAGCACACTGCCCAAAACCCACCTCCAATCTCCTGCTTCCACAGTTGCTATTTGCCCTCGAAGGTGCTACTTGCAGTGAAACCTGTGATTAATGCAACATGCCATTCGGCCCAAACTAGCAAAGAAAGGGGGTTGGGACTGATGGTAGAGATTTGTTTGTCGGAACTGAATCCTGCTGAGGCTGTCAGAAAACCTGGGGAGATCTGGCTCCATTCCGCACGTGGCAGGCTGCTTTAAGACATTCAGAGCCTCACGGGGGGGGGGGGGCATGGCAGGAGCAGGCCCAAGGTGGAGGGATCCACAGGGCAGGATTAAAGGGCTGAAGGGTTGAAGGGTACACAGAGCTTGGGGCGGCAGCGGGCAGGAATGTCTCCCCTTCCGGCGCACATTCGAACCAAAGCGAGCTATTATTAGCGGGCGATCAGCTGAATGCTCCAACTTCACAATCAGTGCTGAGGCCTAGTTTATACCAAGGTGGAAAACAGGCGTCAGGAAGACTGAACAGCTTCAGGGTACAGGAGGAGGCTAGCCAGGCATAACTCCTCCTCTCAAAAACATTCCCTGCACGCAGACATCTAATGTATCAAGGAAAAGGGTTCTGCCTATCCACCTTCCTCCCTGATATT